GTGTTCTGTTCACCTCACACCAAGTCCCGAACCTGGTAATTAAGGTCGATTGGCTGGACCCAACACAGCAATTCCAGCCAGTTGAGCCAGTTTGTTGAATTGTTCTAGCCAGTTGAGATTAACTCAACAAACCACAGCATGTTCCGCCAAGCCATCCACAGACCTCTGGCACTATCTTTGGCCAGCATGTGTATGTTTTCAGCTTGTAGAATAACTTTATGGAGAGGTTCCTTTTCCCATCCTAGGATCCTTGATTTTTAAACCTACATCCGATCTATCACATATACACTTGCCCACAATGTATTTCTCTTTAAGGGGCTGTTCAGCTCCAGATGTTGAAAGGAGAAGGGGGAAAAATCAGCAAATTCAGGGTTTGTATATTTTTTAAAAAATCTGCCACGACAGATAGCAGAGATCCCTCAGAGGGATGCCAAACAATTCCAGGTTTCAATCTCTGTATGGTTCTAATGTTTCCTCTAGCAGGGATGTGAATCTCCTCCCTTACGGAATCCTTTTTGACTGAGAAAAGCAGGTCTCATACGGAGAAGAAATGGAGGGGGGCAGTATTAAAGGGGAAAGCATTCTTTTTTTCCTTTCAAACTGCAGCTGCAAAAAAACTCTCAGTTGGCAGAGAAAGAGCAGGCTCTTAAAATGGTTTTTGAAAGGCTTTTAAAATGATATTTTATATCCTTATAAAATACCCTTAAGAAGATAAGAAGGATCCATTTCTCTGTCTTCTCTGTTCACTTACCAATCCTTCAAACCACAAGATAGGATAGACTGTTCCTGACATGCGAGGCTTTATTTGGGGGATTCAATGTCTTTACTCAGCAAATCTTGGGATATCAATTTCAAACACATTGAGGAAGATTTAAATTTCCTGGGAAAGGCAACCCTGCCTCAGTTTCCTGGCTTTTCATGCTTCCAACCAGGGAAAAAATCATGAGGTAACTTTGGGGTGTTTGTGGGCTTTTCCCCTCATGGTACTGGTGCCACCTCTAAGAGGGAGCCCTGCCTGGAAAAAGACTTGCAGGATCCCACAAAGGGGAAAGAATTTCAAGAAGGCGCCAGCCGGAAGTGGCCCAGCAGCCATTGTGAGGGAACAACAGCTGCAGCACCATTTCTATGGGGTGGGAGGAGGAGGGGCCTGGACTTCCATGAGTGACAGGCCTGTTGCTCAATCAGAGGGAGCCAAGTAATCAGGCCATGGTTAGCCACCCAATCACAGGGAAGGGTGGAGGGCTCTTGGGGCAGGGAGATTTTTCACCTCAGGGTTCACTTGCCTCAGTCTCTTGAGTGGGGAGGTTGTGGGAAGGTGGTTTTGGACACATTTGGTGCCTGACTGGGCCTCCAGGCCTGTTTTATTTGTGTTTCTGAATTCCTTAGCCTCCCCACCCCCAAAGGATTGATGTACCCAGTGGTTCCTCTCCGTCCTAATACATTCCTTATCTTTTTTCTTTAATGCCTTGATGTTAGTTTTGACTCCTGGCAGATGTTCAGAAGGGATTTGCCCTAGCCTCATCCTTGGGGCTGAGAGAGAGGGACTGGGCCAAAGTCCCCCAGCTGGATTTTGTGCCTAAGATGGAACTAGAACTCAGCTTTCCCTGTTCCTACTGAAGGGATCAATATCTAAAGTGGCAATGAAGCAATATCTAAATTGGCAATGTTAACTTC